AACCACCATGACATGTGTATACCTATGTAACAAACCTGCACTTTCTGCACATGTATCCCAGAACTTAAAGTGTAATTAAAAAAAGAAAAAGAAAAGAAAATTGGGCAAAGAATATAACAGATACTTCTCAAAAGAAGACATACAAAAATGACCAATAAACATATGAAAAAATGCTCATAACCATCAGAGAAATGCAAACCAAAACTACAATGAGATACTGTCTCACACCAGTTAGAATGACTATTATTAAAACATTACATAAGAACAGATGCTGGTGAGGCTGTGGAGAAAAGGGAACACTTTCACTGTTGATGGGAATGTAAGTTAGTTCAGTAACTGTGAAAAGCAGTTTGGAGATTTCTTAGATAAGGAACGTCTGCTGATGTCCACCCTAAGGCCGACCCAGGAACCACGGGGCTCGGTCCTGGTCCTCACATCCTCTTCTGCATCCTGCCCTTCTTGGAGCGGGCACCCCGGCCGAACGCACCCTGCTTCAGCTCCTGGGCGTGGCGGCGGTTGCGAGCGGAGAGCGGCTTGAGGCCACCTCGCCGCAGGAAGCGCAGGTTCTGCGCCCGGCGCCGCGGCTTCAGAATCTGCTGCTTGGTCTTGAGTTCGGGGGGGACGCGGCCTGCAGGGATGCCTGGGGTGCGGGGCTGGGATGCACCTCGGCCACGGCCTCGCTTCCCACCTCCGCTCTGGGCTTCGCCGGTCGATGCCCCTTCCTCGCCCGGGTCACGATCATCAATTTTCTGTTTCTGCTTCCACTTCTCATAGAGGTCTCTCTTGAGGAGCTGCTGATGTAGCGGCCGTTCTCTGTCTTAATCTTCTTCTTGTCTTCCTGTCCTGACTGCCCCACAAACCGCTTCTTCTTATGGTCCCACTTGAGCTGCTGGAGGCCCCTTGTGAGATTCTGGGCTTCATGCCCCATCAGGTCCAGAACCGCGCCAGCCGCCTGCAGCTCGAAGGCCCCCCATTCCCCGCCAACGCTCAGGCCCTGCTGCCTGTCAAAGTCCTTGGGCCGGTAGGGGATGTAGAATTCCTGGTCCAGCCGCTGGGCCACCTCACTCTGCCTCTTGGCTCCCCTGTCGGGTCCCAACTGTGGCCGCCTCCAGCCCAAGACCTCTGAGAAGACATCCTCCACACTCTCTCCCACCTCCTCCTCCTCGGGCTGCTTCTCCTGCAGTGCTGGGTGGCTCAGGGCTGGGCCTACAGGGCCCTCCTGATGCTCCCGCCGCCCTTGCCATCCCTGCTGGAAGCGGGCAATGGCTTTGCAGTCCTTCTTGTTGTGCATCACCTGGCTGCACAGGTTTCGGCTGGAGGCATTGATCTCAAAGATGTTTGACCGAGAGCAGTAGTTTTTGATGCTGTTCACCAGCCTCAGCCACTGCAGCTCCCCCTCCTAGAAGCACGAACTGAACAGGGGGTGCAGGCCCAGCCCTGAAAAGTCCAGCTCCTTGGCCCTCTTGATGGACTCGGGCGAGGGTACCAGCCGCCAGTGCAGGTACTGCTGCTGGGCGTTGTCAGCCATGCTTGCCAGGCCCCTAGCTCCAGTGAGCCTTCAGGGTGCTCTGCAGGCCACTGTCCTCCTCATCCACCATGCTCTGTGGCACCTGGCCCAGCATGCCGTTCACACTGGCTGCACCTGAGGGTTCCTTGAGGGGCCAGGCAAGGGTGAGGGAGCAGCCCAGGAACAGAGGCAGATCCAGCAGGTAGGGTATTTCATCAGGGGCCACCAAGGAATAGGCCATGCCACTTTGGCCAGCTCGAGCCACATGGCCCATGCAGTGCAGGAAGAGCTTGCCCTTGGCAGGGAAGCTGTAGTTGATGACATTGTCCAGCAGTGGGATGTCCAGGCCCCTGGTGGCCAGGTCAGTCACAATGAGGGCAGAGCACTTGCCAAGCGTGAATTTGGCGGGTTGACCTTGCGGGCTGTCAGGTCTAGAGCGCTGTAGATGTGGGCACAGCTCACCTGCTGGGTCGTCAGTAGCTCGGTGAGGTACTCGGCATGGTGCTTCGTGGCCACGAACACCACAGTCTTGTCCTCAGGCTGCAGCACGTTGTGCAGCAGGTGGAGCAGCACAGCAGCCTTGGTGTCCTCCTGCACGAAAGAAGGTCTTGAGCTACTCACTGAGCTTAGCGTCCATGTCAAGCCAGATGAGCATGGGCTCCGTGAGGCCTGCCTGGGCAAATTCCACCAGCAGTTTGGGCAGCATGGTGGAGAACGTCATCATCTGGTGGCCCCCAGGGAGGTGGGTGATAATCTCCTGCAGCTGCTTTGCAAAGCCCATTTCAAAAAGCCAGTCGGCTTCATCAAACACAACATAGTCCACACTCTGCACCTTCAGGTTCATTTCCACAGCCACATGCACCAGCCATCTGGGAGTGGCAATAATTATGTTGGGATTTTCATGCAGGGCTACAAACTGATATTCCATCCTGTTTCCACCCAGGATCCGGGCAGTCTTGAGGCCAGTGAACTTCCCCAGCTCCTCGGTGAACTTCAGGGTCTGCAGGGCCAGTTCTCAGGTGAGCGAAAGGATGAGGGCATGGGCCCCAGTCTGAGCGGTGGGTCTTGAGCCACTCAAACTTGGGAAGGAGGAAGCAGGCGGTCTTGCCACTGCCAGTGCAGGTCATGGCCACCACATCCTTGCCATCCAAGATCACCTGGATGCTCTTCCTCTGGATGGGTGTCGGCACTTTGTAGCCCTTCTTCACGATGCCTTTGAACACCAGGTAGCTCAGGCCTTATTTGGTTTTCTGATGTGAATCCACTCTTGAGGGCATGACAACAGGGACCTCTAAAGCTAATGGGGTCTTAGATGACACTGAGAAACTGTGCCTTCATTTTAGGTGTGGTAAGGTACTGTGCCTCTCAGGGGTATGTGCGGACACTGAGAATATCTGGAACAAACTTCAAAATCTCCCCAGGTGGTGGGGAGGGAAAAAAGGATGGGGCCGTGGATGGGAGCTCACTTTGTTGCCCTGGCTGGACTTGAACTCCTGGCCTCAAGTGATCCCACCTCTGCCTTCCCAAACGCTAAAATTACAGGCGTGAGATTATGACTTTGACCTGTCAATCAAAATAAAACTGTCAAAAAATACCTTCTTTAAATGCACAGTGGATGTTCCTGAGGATTTGAGAGAGACGTGTGCTAATGAAAATGTACATAAAGATTTTAAGAAAGCAGTAGGAGCATGCAGAATTTTTTACCATTCAGGAACAACACAGCTAATAATACTGTCTGCCAAAGAAGCAACTGTGAAGAGAGTTAATATCTTAAGTGACATGCATTTATGAAATATATGTACAAAGTTGATGCTTATGTCCAGAAATGAAGAGGCCACTAATCATTTGGAATGCACAAAACAATTTCCAGCAGCTTTTTATGAGGAATTTGTTTTGAGAGATTTAATGGGCCTGGCAATAGGAACACATGGTAGTAACATTCAGCAAGCTAGGAAGTTTCCTGGAGTTACCTCCATCAGGCTAGATGAAGATACTAGCACATTTAGAATCTATGGAGAGAGTGCTGATGCTATAAAAAAAGGCTAGAGGTTTCTTGGAATTTGTGGAGGATTTTATTCAGGTTTCTAGGAATCTTTTTGGAAAAGTAATTGGAAAAAATGGCAAAGTTATTCAAGAAATAGTGGACAAATCTGGTGTGGTTCGGGTGAGAATTGAAGGGGACAATGAAAATAAACTACCCAGAGAAGATGATATGGTTCGATTTGTTTGTTGGCACTAAAGAAAGCATTGGAAATGTGCAAGCTCTTTTAGAGTATCATATTGCTTATCTAAAGGAAGTAGAACAGCTAAGAATGGAACGCCTACAGACTGATGAACAGCTACAACAGATTGGTGTGGGCTTCAGACCTTCTTCCACCAGAGGGCCTGAAAAAGAGAAAGGATATGCCACTGATGAAAGTACCGTCTCTTCTGTGCAAGGTTCTAGATCTTATAGTGGAAGAGGCACAGGTCGTAGGGGCCCTAATTACACCTCTGATTATGGTACAAATTCTGAGCTGTCTAACCCCTCTGAAACAGAATCTGAGGGTAAAGATGAGTTGAGTGGCTGGTCATTGGCAGGAGAAGATGATCGAGACAGTCAACATCAGGTGACAGCAGGAGACACCCAGGAGGAAGAGGCAGAAGTGTTTCAGGGGGTCGAGGTCATGGTGGACCACGTGGTGGCAAATCCTCCATCAGTTCTGTGCTCAAAGATCCAGACAGCAATCCATACAGCTTACTTGATAATGCAGAATCAGATCAGACTGCAGACACTGATGCCAGCGAGTCTCACCACAGTACTAACTGTCACAGGTTGAAGGACTGATAAAGATGCTGTCCTGAGGGATGGAATGACTGAATCTGATACAACCTCAGTTAATGAAAATGGGCTAGTCACAGTTGCAGATTATTAGAGCTGAGTCACAGAGCAGACAAAGAAACCTCCCAAGGGAAACTTTGGCTAAAAACAAGAAAGAAATGGCAAAAGATGTGATTGAAGAGCATGGTCCTTCAGAAAAGGCAATAAATGGCCCAACTAGTGCTTCTGGTGATGACATTTCTAAGCTACAGTACACTCCAGGAGAAGAAAACATTAATCACCTAAAAGAAGAAAACACTCAAGAAGCAGCAGTCCTGAATGGTGTTTCATAAACTGAAGAAGTTCCTAGCTTACAGTTCTTTTACATTACATTTACAGTAGTACTTGTACAAGCTTGCCAAAGATAGGATGTGGATTGCCAGTCTTTACATCACACTTTCAGTTCCTTCATTTGGAATTCAAAAAGGGGAGGGATTCTGAGGACATCATATGTTAAACATAACTTTGACACCTGCTGTGTTATAAAATATATCATCAGATGTGCCTTGAGAATAGTATATGTAACATTAAAAAAAGTTGCTGGCTATAGGAAAAAAATATGTAAAGAAGCTGCCCATTTACTCCCTGAATCTGAAATAAAAGTTGAAATTATAAAAAATAAAATTAAAAAATAAAATAAAGAACAAATCACATATACACAAAAAATCATGATGAATATAAAAAACATTAAATGACCCAAAAGATTATATATTGAGTGATTACATATGTAATATTAATTAAAAGTAAAAACCCAATAGACATGTCAGGTGGGGTGCCTTATTCTTGTAATCCCTGCAATTCGGGAGGCCAAGACAGGAGGATCTCTTAAGCCCAGGAGTATGAGACCAGCTTGGGGAACAGAGTGAGACTGTCTCTACAAGAAATTAAAAACTGACTGGGTGTGGTGGTGTTTGCCTGCAGTGCAAGCTCTACAGAAAGATGAGGAGGGAAGATTGCTTGAGCCAGGAGGCTGAGGCCACAGTGAGGTGTGATAGTGCCACTGCACTCCAGCATGGGCAAACATGGTCATCTTTAGACGGCAACAGCAAAAATAACATCAGAAACAGAAAGCCTCCAGACAAAACACAGAGCAGTGGTTGCTTGAAGACAGGGATGTGAGCAGAGATTGACTGTGAAAGCGGAGGAAAGATATTCTTGGAAGAATGAACGTGTTCTAAAAGTGCATAGGGTGATTGTGCATAAAATGAATTTATTAGCAATTCAGTAAAGTCATTAAACCTTACACAGTAAGTAAATTTTACGGTATGTAAATTATACCTCAATTAAGCTGATAAAATAATTGAGGGTCTCCACAAGCTTTTGTTGATGTGGGGTTTTTAATGTCAAGATATGCTGTATTAGAAGTTAAAACTGAAAAATAATTAAATGTATATTTATTAATACTTTAACAATTATAAAACCATAATTGGTAAAGTAATATTTCCATGAAAAATAAGTGTACTTTACAAAACCATAAAATAAATAAAAGGATGGCTTTAATTACATGTTTACAAATCCCATTAATGTCTGGCTTAATAGAAGCCAGACACTTTCACATCTGGATTCTCACATCTGCTTCTCCGTTCACTCTTTTGCCATACTACATGTCATGTAGCCCCTGGGAAAATCTCCTGTATGCTCTTTGGATAATAAAATTTCAAAGACAATCAATGTCTAAGTGTTATTATAAAAGTAGTTTTGACTTCATGCACTCTAAAAGTGTTCACAGCCACACATTGTGAATCCTGTAGTAAGGGCCCATTTCCTGATCACTTACTGGCTGTAAGGTTGGGGTGAGGAAGGAAACTGTCTAAAACTAGCACTGCCTGAGACCCAGGACATTGTGTCTATATCTTGTTCCTTGAGCTCCTAGACCCTGAAAACCAAGCGTGCTGCACAGTAGCCTCCGCAGGGTGCTGTGATTGTTTGGGCAAAAGAGGTATTTCCTAGCCCTCTTTTCACCCGTCACAAACCACAAGAAGTTACAGTGGCAAGTTTACATCCTGGACTTCTATTTTTATGCTTTTTCAATCAGATTTTTAAAAATTGTCCATCCTTGTACAACCTAAATGTATCATATTTTATGAACACTGGTCTAAATCAGAGATTCTCAAAGTATGGTTCAGGGACCAGTGGCAGCCTCTTATCAGTTGCCTAAAACTCAAACTCTCTGGCCCCACCCCAGACCTATTGAACCAAGAGTGCTGTGGGTAAGCCCCAGCAATCTGTGGCCTCAGAAGCTTTTCAGGTGATACTGATGCACCAACTAGGCTAACTCATCAGCCTGCTTGTTAGTCTGAGAAGGACCCCTTCTCAGAAGGGAAACACAGCACAGCTGGTAATGAAAACTTTAGCCCAACTCGCATCTCCTCCTCTTCCTGGATCTGAGCAGTGTGGGCAGATACAAAGCATCAGGTCCGGGTGGTGGGGCAAGCGGGATAAGACAATGGAGGTTACTTGAGGAGAAGCAGCCACTGGAAGGTGAGAAAAGTCTGCTGTCTGAACTAGGCTACTAGACTTCTGCTTACTGTTTGCTTTTCTTTCTCCGTAGTTTACACAGAGCCTTTAATAAAGCCTTTAACCAAAGGCCCAGGCTCATCTCTTCCCTATGTTTTGGAATAAATTGAAGCAGGGTTCAACAAACCTATTAATGTGGAAAAGCCCCATTTGTGGTCACTTTGATGGTGGCAGCGGTTATTCATGAAAGCTTTCAAAGTAATAGAACTGGAATGAGAGCCACTCTCTCAACCTGAGACCCCCATCCTGAGTGCCTTAACAGGTTCTGGGTTTTATTTATATTGAAAAGTTTTGTTATTTTTCATTCAAAACCCTATTGATATTATACAGATACCTGTCTACTTTTGTTCTCCCAATACAATTGTGCACATATATTTTTGCTACTTGTAAAAAACTTGCAAAATAAAAAATAACATACAAATAAATTACATTAAATTATATTAACCCATGATAACTAGTCTTTGCCACTATTATGTTAATATTTTTTCACATATTTGGTATAAATTATTTTAAATTTTGTGTTTCAGTGGGAGAAACGTTAAGAAAATTAAACAAAATATATTCAGATTCACTGCAAAGGGTGCTTTTATGTGTATTGAGAAAGGCAGAGACTGAAAGAGATCTGGTGTGAAATCACTTTCACTGTTAATACAGTGCTTTGGGAAAATGCATGGTGAGCAAAACTTCTAGGAATTAAAAGATGTTTTAAAATTTATTTGTTTTTTCAACTTTTAAGTTCAGGAGTACATGTGCAGGATGTGCAGGTTTGTTAAGTAGGTACACGTGTGCCATGGTGGTTTGCTTCACAGATCATCCCACCACCTAGGTATTAAGCCCAGCATTTATTAACTATTTTTCCTGATGCTCTCCCTCCTTCCACCTCCACCTTTGACAGGTCCCAGTGTGTGTTGCCCCCCCAACATGTGTTCATGTGTTTTCATCACTCAGCTTCCACTTATAAGTGAGAACATGTGACGTTTGGTGTGCTGTGCCCCACAGTTTGCTGAGGATAATGGCTTTCAACTCCTTCCATGTACTTGTGAAGGACGTTGTTTTGTTCCTTTTCATTGCTGCATAGTATTCTATGGTGTATATGTACCAGGTTTTCTTCATCTAGTCTATCACTGATAAACATTTAAGTTTATTTTATGTCTTTGCTGCTAGCTCCCAGCCAGTACCACAGAAAGGAAAATTTAAGAATCACTTGAAGCTGGAAGGCAGAGCTCACAGTGAGCCAAGATCGTGCCGCTGCACTCCCACCTGGGCAACAGAGTGAGACTCTCTCAAAAAATAAAGAAAAAAAGAAAAGAAAGAAAACAAACAAACAAAACTTCATTAATCTGTAGTTTGTCTCACACTTTTTTTCTTGCAGGAAGGCAACAATAGTATTTTCATCCTTCTTCATTTCTGAGCTGCTACCATAAGACCCTATTAGGTTTTATGATGTCCCTGAATGTCCCAATATAGTCCTAATTGGCTGTTACTTTTTTCAAACCAGGTACAAATCAATGATACTATAATTAAATCTTAATTTTTATTTTCTTTTAATTATCATTGCTATACAGATGTTTCCAAACATTTTCTCCTTAGAAATTAAAA